AATTATTAAAAAGTGAATACACTCATGTAACCACCAATCAGGACAAGAAATGGAACCTGAAAAGCACCCCAGAAGCTATTCTTCTGGCCCTTCCCAATGACTAACCTGTTCTTCCTTCCAACACCGTATGTTAGTGTTCCCTACTTTTGAACTTTCAAATAAATGGACCTATAAAATATGTGACCTTTTGTGTCTGGCTTCTTTCACTTACAAAATTGATTTTTATGTCTAGTGTAAGGTAGTGGCCAAATTTCATCACCATTTGCTGAAAAGACATTCCCAGCCCTGCTGCTCTGCAGAGGTACTTTTGTCATAAATCAAGTGTTGCTATACATGTGATCTTCTGAGCTTTTTGCTTTGTTTCAGTCATCTGTTTGTCTTTTCTTGTGTCAATACCATACTGAAGTATTTCTGAAGTCTTGGAATCCAGTTGAGAAATTCCTCCAATTTTGGTCGTCTTCTTCAGAATTGCTTGGTTATTCTAGTCCTTTCCTATGATCATATAACTTTTAGAATCAGACTATTAACTTTCACAAAATACCTGTTGGGATTTTATAGGGATTGCATTGAACCTATAGATCAAGTTGAGAAGAATTGACATCTTTAGATTGTTGAATTTTCAACCTGTGAACATCTCTCCATTTATTTAGGTCGTCTTTTACATTTTTTTTTTTATTATTAATGTTCTATAGTTTTCAGCACAGAAGTCTTAAATGTGTTTTTGTTAGATTTATTTCTGGTTATTAGATTTTAAAATGCTATCTTTTAAATACAACTTACAATTTTATTTTATACAACTGACTTTTATAAATTGACTGTGCTTCCAACAATTTTGCTAAATTGACTTATTAAATCTAATAGCTTACCTGTAGACTCTTTGGGATTTTTAAAATATAAAATTATGTAACATGCAAGTCATCTAGTTTTATGTCTACCTTTTCAATCCCTATGCCTTTTATTTCTTTTTCTTGCCTTCTTGCATTGGCTATGATCTTAAGTAAAACGTTGAATAGCAGGGGGCTATTCAAGGGAGTATCATCAACTTCTTTCTGTTCTTAGAAGGAAAACATAAAAAATTCACCTTTATATGTTTGCTATGGATGTTTAAGATAGACATATTTTTATCATTATGGAAGATCCCTTCTTTCTTCAGTGTGCTAAGAATTTTTTATGAATTCATGTTGAATTTTATCAAATGCTGTTTCTACACTTATTGAGAGAATTATATGATTTTTCTCCTTTATTCTATTAACATGGTAAAAAACACGGATCAATTTTTCAATGATAAACCAGCTTTGCTTTCCTGGAATCAATCCAATTTGCCTGTGATGCATTCTCTTTTTTATATAATGCTGTATTTGTTTTGCTAATATTTTGTTTAGGATTTTTGCATTTATCTCCTTGAATGAAATGGGTCTATAATTTTCTGTTTTGTAATATTCTTACCAAATTTTGGAATAAAGATTTTTCTGTCCCCATAAAAGTCTTAAGAAATCTTTTCTCTTTTTCTGTTTTCTGGAAGAGATACATAAAATTGATATTTCTTCCCTAAATGTTCGATAGCATTCACTTGAGAAGCCATCTGGGTATGAGGTATATTTTGTGGAAAGTTTTTAAACACAGTGTTTAATTACTTAAATTTTCTCTTTATTTTTATGTCAGTTTTGGTAAATTGTGTATTACTAGGAAATTATGCATTTCATTGAAACTTCCAAATTTACTGGCATACTGTTGTTATAATGTACAGTCTATTTGTGCCATATTAGTATAGCTGAATTAGGTTTGTTCTGTTTTATTTTTGTTTTGTTTGCATTGAATTATTTCTTTCAAACTTACTTTTCAGCTTCAATAGCCTTACATTTAAAATTTATCTCCTGTAAGCAGAATATAGTTGGATTTTTTTAAAACCCATTTTATTGATTTTTAAATCTTAATTGTGTATAGTTCATTCACTTTTAATGTAATTATTGTTATATTTCCATTTAAATCTTCCATCTCATCATCACCTCTTCCTATTTGTCCCACATCTTTTATATTCCCTTTCTCCTTTCTTGCCTTCTTCTGTATTAGTTAACTAAATATTTGTTGTTATATTTTCCATACTCTTTTAGCTTGTTGGTTAGAGGTATATGTAGGTTTTCTGGAGACCTAAAGCTTAATACAATTTCAAGTGCCTTTATTAAGAAAAATAATAGGGACTTCCCTGGTGTCGCAGAGGTTAAGTATCCGCCTGCTAGTGCAGGGGACACAGGTTCGATCTCTGTTCTCACATGCCGCAGAGCAACTAAGCCGGTGCACCACAACTACTGAGCCTGCACTCTAGAGCCTGCGAACCACAACTACTGAAGCCCACGCACCTAGAGCCCATGCTCTGCAACAAAGGGAAGCCACCGCAATGAGAAGTCCGCACACCGCAACAAAGAGTAGCCCCCACTTGCCGCAACTAGAGAAAGCCCACGCGCAGCAACGAAGACCCAGCGCAGCCAAAAATAAATAAATAATTGTTTTTAAAAAAGAAAAGTAATAAAACATTATAGATATAAAATTAAGAATAAGAAGGATATATATATAGAGAGAGAGAGAGAGAGAATCACAACAAATTTCAACTTTTAAAAAGCTGACCAATATCACAAACATCACCAAACCCAGAAAAAAAAATAACATAATATTTTTGACTGTCTAACATACTTCTATATTTCCCTACTTTTTTGTGCTGCTTTTCTATATGGCAATAATCTTGTAATATCATTTACTATAGAGAGAACAGAAAAACAATTCAGCCTTTCTTCTAATATGGCTGATTGAAATTTTTTAAATTATTGTTCTTTATTCCTGGTCATTGGAATACATAAAACATATGACTTGACACACAAATGTATTCACAGGAATTCTGATAAATTCATTAAAAAGAAAAAAAAAGATTTTGATGTGTCTGTAATTGAATATGCTTCATGACCAAGTATGTTCCTTTAGGGACTTCCCGTCAGGCCAGTGGTTAGAACTCGGTGCTTTCACTTTGGGGGGTCTGGGTTCGATCCCTGGTCAGAGAACTAAGATCCCGCAAGGACACAGTGTGGCCAAAAGATAAATTAATTAATTAATTAGTTAATTTTTTTTAATTAAAAAAGATTTTTTAAGTACATTCATTTAACAAAATAAGAGAACTTTTACCTAAAGAAAATAAAATTTTTTTTGGCCATCGTAAGCAGCATGTGGCATCTCAGTTCCCCAACCAGGGTTGAACCTGTGCCCCCTGCAGTGGAAGCTTGGAGTCCTAACCACTGGACCGCCAGGGAATTCCCAATAACTTTTATTTTGATTAGGCATCAATAGAAAACAAATTTTCTGCTCACAGATACACATCTGATCATTGGAAACATGTTCCAAAGACAAGCTGGCCTTGTATATTTCAAACCTTATCTCATCAATGGCTACACATGTACTTCCAATGCTGTTCACAGAGGGACACGTTCTTATTAGAAAACAATCTGGGTCATGATGCCATGTAGGTGGATGACACAATTATTCCTGGAAGTCATTCTTACACTGAAACAGCTAGAATAACCTTAAATATGCACGAACATGACAGCAAGTCCCCAAACACATTTCAACAAAAGGAACTAAATATAATGTCAGCTCGAATTAGCCAGGTCCCACGTGAACATAGCCGGTGTTTTGTTATTTTCAGCATACAGATCCTGCACAGATTTTGTTAGACTTATACCTAAATATTTTATATTTTAGGGTGCTATTGTAAACGGTACTATTTTTTTTTCAATTCCAGTTTGCTCATTACTAAAATATAGAAATATGATTGACTGGCTATTGTATGTTGATATCGTATTCTGGGACCTTGAAAAACTCACTTATTCTAGTAATTTTAGGTAGATTCTTTGGGAATTTCTACAATCTTGTCATCTGCAAATAGGAACAGCACTGTCTCTGCTTTTCCAATCTGCCATTTTTTTCCTTTCTGTGCCTGTCCTATCTGTCCTGCCTATCTCTGGCCAGGACCTCCAGGGTGATACTCAACAGAAGTGGTGATAGCAGACATCCTTCTTTTTTCTTGATCGTAGGGGGAAAGCACTGAGTCTTTTACCGTTAAGTGCATTGCTAGCTGTGCATTTTTGCACAGGCTGTTTATCAGGTTGAGAAAGTTCCCTTCAGTTTCTCATTTGCTGAGTTTTTTTTTGTCATAAATGGATGCTGAATTTTGTCATGTGCTTTTCCCGAACTCACTGAGATGATCATGGGGCTTCTCTTCTTTCGTCTGTGGATGTGGTGAATTACACTGATTGATTTTCAAGGTATAAAACATGCTATTCATGGATTCATTTGACAAATATCTGTGGGCAGTTATTTTGCCCAGGCATTGGGCTGGGTGCTGGAGCCACATTTCTGACCCTGGCTGGGGCAGGCCCTGCCCTCAGGGAACTCAAGTATCCCTGTACCCCTAGTGCTCGCCAGCTTTGGAGCCTGCACCCCACATCACGTCTGCTTTGAGGACCGTGTCACCAGTGACTCCCTCAGCCAGAATGGCCTGGTTTTCCTGCCTTTCCGGGGAAGTGTGGTAAGGCACAGCTGGCCCAGGGACGAGGGGAATCAGGAGATCTTGGCTGGGGGAATGCAGGGCTGGCCCTGCAGCCACTACTGCTAAGAGTTCATTCCGCACCTGGATCCTGACGCTACCCCCGAGGGACGCAGCCCTGGCATTCCTGGCTTTCTCTCCACCTGAGAGAGTGAGGGCAGCTATCACCCCCTGAAGGATTTTAAAAATTCAAAATAACACCCCCACCATAGGAAGAGTCTCATCGGGTTTGAGAAAGAATACTAAACAGTATCAGGGTGACACCCCTGCGTGGCAGCAATCAAGGTCACATGTCAGCAGTCCTGGAGCTGTTGCCCACAGTCCCCATTCGGAAGCCTTTTTCCTTGTAAAAGACAAAAAGTTCTGACCGCGCTGGAGCTCCCATCATCTCTCACCTGGCTGCTGCCCTTACCTGCTTGTTGCTGTAACTGGCTTCAGAGCTGGGCTCCCCACCTCGGTCTGTCTTCCCTCTAATCCACTCTCTCCATGCTGAGCCAGAGGGATCTTCCTGAACTAGAAAGCCAGGCGTGAAAATGAGACAGGAGGGAAGGGGGCACAACCTTTCAAAGAAGAACACAGCTCTTGAGGATGCAACAAAAACTGGTTAGAACCGATTAGGCCCAAGATGGGGGAAGACTTGACTGCCCTAGACCTTGAGCCTCATTGTAACACATCAGCATATGCTAAGTGACACGCCCACAGGCGCCATGACAGTTCTGAGGCTGACCGTAAAAGGCAAAAAAGTGGACGGTGGCCCAAATCCTGGAAATCCCTGCCCCTTCCCCGAGATAGTCAGAATAATCCACTCATTAGCCTATGAAATTACCCAGCCCATAAAAACTAACCACCCCACATTCTGGGGCCACTCTTGCGTTTTGAGACGGACCACATTCTGCCTATGGAATGTGTATCTCTCTGAATAAATCCACTTCTTACCTATCACTTTGTCTCTCAGTGAATTCTTTCTGTGCTGAAACATAAAGGACCTGAGCTGCGGGCTTCCCTGGTGGCGCAGTGGTTGGGGGTCCTCCTGCCGATGCAGGGGACACGGGTTCGTGCCCCGGTCCGGGAAGATCCCACATGCCGTGGAGTGGCTGGGCCCGTGAGCCATGGCCGCTGAGCCTGCGCATCCGGAGCCTGTACTCTGCAACGGGAGAGGCCGCAACAGTGAGAGGCCCGTGTACCGCAAAAAAAAAAAAAGGACCTGAGCTGCATTAAGTCCCGAGTTTTGGCTGGGTTCGAATCCCACCTGAGGTGCGATTGGGTTTGAGTTCCAATCTGAGTTGGGCAGTTCCAAAACTTCTCCACTTAAAATGTTCCATTGGCTTCTCAGAACCTTCAGGATGAGAATCAAGCTCCAAGCACGACCAACACGAGGTCCCCCCCACCTGGATCCTGCCCACTGTCCCGTCTCCTCGCCACCACTCCCACCTGGCCTTCTGCCCCCAACCACCTGAGCCAACTTGCCTGTGCCTCGTGCCTCTGCGTCCTCACAAGCTGTGTTGTGGCCGCCATCCCCACCTCTGTCTGATTCTCCAGCAACCACAGCCAGGATGGCAGTTCAAAGAAACCAGCCCTTCCTCACACCTAGCTGCCTAGGAGGATCACTGGACCACTGGATTCAGATTCAGGTTTACCAAACATGTATCAAGCCCTCTAACATTATGGGAGAACTGGGTTTGCCTCTTGGTGGTTGTTGAGCCAATAGACACAACCAAGCCAAAGACTGGGAGAAGGAAGGAGTTATTATTACTTGCAGCAAGGAAGGGAACACTGGGGATCTTTGCAGCAAAATTGGGGAAGTTTTAAGCTAATGGTACATGCATATTCATGAAGGGGCTTGGGTGGTACATTCATATTCATGAAGGGGCTTGGGTGGTACATGCATATTCATGAAGGGGCTTGAGCAGAGGAGAGTTCAGCATAGAATTGGGGCAAAGGTCGACAGAGTCCAGGCTCCAGTGACTGAAGTGAGGATGGTCAACGTCATCATTCCATCCTCCACCTGGGTGGGAGACTTAGCTCCCGCAGAGCTCAGAGATCTATTATTATGTCTATCCCTTGAGGGGGAACTAGGACTCTGCTCTATCACTGCACTATTGTTTGACTGCCTCCTCTCTGGTCCTGCCTTCCTTTGTTCCCTTAAGATCATTAATTACTGAGACCTGTTCAAGAGCAAACATTGTGGCCATGCTTAGATCACAAAATGCAGGGCCAAAATGACTTCTCTCGTGTCAAGAAAACCATTCCCGGTTCTCTTTCTCCGGGGACCCCCTAAAGTATCTGTTTACACTAAGACCCACACTTAGACTCTCCATACACACCGTGTTCACTGGCTTTGGGCTGCACCCTGAAGGCCTGCAAGGCCTGTACTTGCCCAGCTTTGGGACCAAAGAAAGAGCCCGCAGTTGGCGACAGAAACATCCGTGGTTTAATGGATAGGGGATCTTACACGTCTGAAGCAAGGTCCTGGAGAGACACCCCACCGTGTGTGGTGGACCGCGGGCAGGACACGACAGCAGTGTTCACTCCCGGGGTCAGGGGAAGGTTAGCAGTTATAGGGGGAATTACCATCAGGTTGCTTCATCGGTTACCAGGGAAACTAGCAGAAGGGCACGCCCCTCACCGCCCTTTTGATAAGCTATCATGGTGGAGATGCTCTGATCTAAAGTTAGAGTAGGGACTTCCCTGATGGTCCAGCGGGTAAGAATCCATCTAGCAATGCAGGGGATGCCAGTTGGATCCCTGGTCGGGAAGTTAAGATCCCTCACGCTGTGGGGCAGCTAAGCCGGCGCGCCACAAATAGAGAGAAGCCCGCGCACCACCGTGAAGAGCCTGTGCTCCGCAACTAAGACCCGACGCAGCCAAAAAGTAAATAAATATTTAAAATAAAGTTAGAGTGATGATTAGCTGGGGTGGGACAAGTACGTAGGAAGGTCAGTCATGTGAGTAGGTGTAGGTGAAGCAGGCACTGGCCTGGAGGGGGGATGCCCAGAGAGCCAAAGAACAGCCATCTTGGTTGGCCTGACCATACACGTCCTAAGCTGTAGAGTGGCAGAGCGGAGTTCTCAGAAACAGAGCGGCTCAGGCAGCCCGAACTTGCCTGAGTTCTAGTACGTGAGAAGCTCCGGTCTTCTGGTGTGGAGACCAGCACGTGATTACCCAGCTGGCCTGGGCTCCAGTCCCCCCGGCCCTTTTGTTAATTATTCTGAGATTCTAAAGTGGAGGAAACTTTAAAGGGCTTCTAGCCAAGACCCTTAAACCATCTCCTTAAAAATCTCTCGTTCCCGCTCTGGTGCATCTAGAGCGAGTATTTGTTGAAAGCGGACCCCTTCGGGGAGAATTTACCTACAACTCTTGCTGAGCTCTGAACCTTCAACCTTAAATGTGAAAACGAAAGGGAAAGTGTCAGCAGCAGGATGTGGGGGGGGAGGGGGAACTTGAGTCCGTATGTGCAGAACACCTGCGGTGAGTGGGTGGCTTAATAACACCCAGCGAAGCGGGTGGAATGAAGTGATTACCGAGCCTTCTAGAGGAAATAACATGTTCTTTCCTGGCTTCTCAAACTGAGGTCCTTGTGGGGCAGACCAGAGGCTGCTGCGGTGCATCTTCCTGCTGTGTTAAATTTACTCAAAGATTTTGGGTGAAATCAGTAAATTAAGTGGTCAATCAGTGATTGAAAATATTCCTTGTATATAAAAGCAAGCAGAGATATCTTAAGGACTAGGATAAAACTAAGATGGGAAACTTCATGGAAATATGATCACTTTGGGGGCTTGGGTGATTTTCTGTAATCAACACTCAGTCTCCTCTGAAGTTAGGGAAGCTCAGGAGAAAGGGTTCAAGTGTCGCTGCTCACAGCGTCCTTCCTGGGAGACGCACGGGCATGTAGGTATGACTGCGCACTTCCCCTGAACGAATATTCTGTCACGGTTATTCTTGTCGTTCATGCCATTTTGAGCTCTAGAGGCTGAAACCGTGCAAGTGGACGGAACCCAAATCCATTCCTGTGGCCCGAAGTCTACCCTAAGATGGTGTGGGTTTGGGAAGAGCCGATGCACCCGGCCCCCAGCAGAGATGGCAGCTGAGGGGACAGGAAGAGCAGGCCGCAGCCCCCCAAGCCTACTTGATATTCCGGGGATGAAAGCAGCAGTGGGCAGAATCCTTAGCTGAACCTGCCTGGCCGTCCGGAGGTGGGAGGGTGCTTGGCAGGAAGACCAGGAAGTGAAATAACAAACAGTCTCCAAAAAGCCCACCCTGCGAGGAGGCCGGGAAATGCAGTGGCCCCTCGCTGCGTCCACTCTGTGGAGAAGTCCCTGGGCTCGGGGCTCGGCCTGCAGCTGGGCTGGTGTGGACGGCTGTGAAGGATTCAGCAAGCCCCGCTCCTGCCCGACAGCGGCCTCCAACCTGTCTCTCACTCTTTGGCTTAAGCCTTGTCTCCTGTCCGGGTGCAAATGACTCTGTGCCATAATGGCAGTTGGGGTGGCCCCGTCCCCTCCAGACCCCTGGAGCGTCACCTCGGGGAGCCCTGAGATGAGGGGAGGGCACAGGAAGGGGAGCCAGGCAGAGAGGCCAGGGCCCGTGTGCCAGACACACCGCTGCCTTCACGTGCATCCCGGGAGTCTAACTTCTAGGCGCACTCTAAATCGTGTGAAACAAAAAGCAAAGAGGGATCCGAGTGATGCAGGGTCCATCGCCTCCCAACACCGAGAAATAAACTGGGGTCCAGTGAGATGCAAGCATCTCCCTACTGGCAGCAGAGGGCCCACACGCAGCCACTGGTGTCTCCTCCGCCACGGGTCTCCTCCTGGCCTCCTGGGCTTACCCCTCACGGGCTCCAGCGCAGCGACCTTCCCGGGAGGGGCTGGCACGCCCGGCAGGGCCTCACAGAGGACAGTTAGGGCCTGTCCCCAGCGGCCGGCTCGTCTCTGTTTCTGCTGGTCCGCAGGAGCGCTCGCAGACGTTACTGGACGGGCCGGGAAACTCCACAGGCCCTGCAGCTGAGCTGGAGACTTGCAAAAGCCCGTGACTCAGCCCTGGGAGGGGAGATGGCTCTGGCCTGCACAGAAGGTACCAGAATGGGTAAACAACAGGGGCAGGGGCCGGGAGGGGCCCCCTTGCTGCCTCCTGAGGGAGTGAGCCCTCCCCTCCAGGTGGGGGAAGGAGGATGTGGGCAGAACCAAAGAGCTGGGCATCGGAAGGCAGGGAAGCCAGAAGAGAGGACAGTAAACCAGGGGCCAGAGCGGGCCCCGGGGCCAGTGAGGGGAGAGGTGTGGGGAGCAGGCTGGGCGTGGGAGGTTCAGAGTCTAGGTGCCGGGGTGAGTGCCACACGCACCTCTTCACCTCGGGCAGGACGGACGGTGAGAGTAGATTGGATTGACGTGCATCTCATTCTCCATTATCCCAAACAAGAGCGGGTCCTTTCTGAAATTCTACCTGTGCAGCTGAGACGCAGACATGGAAAGTGACCATGTGGGGGTCGGGCTGTGCCGGGCAGCAGGAGGGGAAAGTGGGCCAGGGTGTGGGTGCTGGGGTCTTGGGGGCGTGGGGTCGGCAGGGGGCCTGGAAGCCCCCAGGGAGGCTCTGGGAGCTGTAGGGACCCCTCTCCAGCCCTCAGGCTCTTCCTGCAACAAGACTTCAGCTGGCCGGTGCCCCAGGGACAGTTCTGGGACGGCGGTCACCATGGCTGGACACTGAAATATCAGTAATGTCAAAGTCGATGCTTCCTGCTCCACAGGCATCTCCCCAGGGCTGGGGGCGAGCAGGGAGGGCGGGGGTCTATAAAGGACGTGCCGTGACTGTCATTATTTATAGTTCATTGTCCTGCACTCAGGCCTGGGACCCTTTCCATCCCCCCCAGTTATCGTGTGTGTGCATGTGTGCGTGAGTGTCCACCCCCAAGACCTTCGAATAAGGGTTAGAGTGACCAGTGCCAGGATCTGGGCTCCATCCGGCTCTGCCCAGACATGCCACGTGGCCTCCAGCAA